AACTTTCTACACAACATAAGAACATGTACAATGCATATGCATCAGAAACTAATTAGTAAATAAACAACTTTTTCCTAATAAATTTTAGCAAAATACCCCGTACTATAGTACAGGGTAATTGGCTAAGCTTAATAACAGCTGATGGCTGACATACCTTAGCAAGTAGCTTGCTCAGTCTCTCTCACACATTAGTAAAGTAGGTACTGCAATCATAATTAACATATAACTCTGATACAAAATTATGAATGTGACAAAACTAAAGAAAAGAGAGACAAAAATTTATTAAACTGTGACGAATCTTGTGTACATAAATGTACTCTTTCTTACTTGAATTGAGACATTCTAATGTTAGCTCTTGTCTGCCTGCTTGAAGTCTTGACTGATCTAATTGTATTGTGTGCATTAGCTTATTAAGGAACCACTGAGAGAGAGAGAGAGGGAGAGGGAGAGGGAGAGAGAGAGAGAGAGAGAGAGAAGTATTTAATGATCCACCTACATGTATGTGTTTCTTTCTTTACCTCCAGCTGTAGTTTGAGATGATGACAATTTGAATGAAAAAGAAGAAAGCACTTTGTCAAAGAGCGACCAAAAACATCAACAGATTCGTTCTGAAGCAACTAACAAATTATAATTTAACACAAACTGAAATACGTACTTCGTAAAGTTGCTCATTTACAGTAAGTAAGTGATGGCAGAGTCCGTCTTGCATGAGAACTCTCAGTGATTTAATGTCCCCAAGACTCTTCACGCCACACTCCAAAATAACAGTCACCAAATCCAACCCAATGCAAATACTCATGTGTCATTCCTTTATGGAGGAAAGGAAGAGAGAGAAAAGAGAGAAGATTATATGATTAAATAAGAGATCAATGGGCACACAGCAATTCACCCAAATTAAGCACTCCAAACTATCTACATTGTACAACATACATGTACATGTAGCTACGTAAAATAATAATGAATATCACCATTACCTGACACGAGTCTCTGTGAACAACAAGAGATAATGACAGCATCTGTAATGAGAGAGAGAGAGAGAGGAGACAAGAGTATTTGGAAAAGTGAGAAGTGTTGTGGTGAATTGCATGTGACTGTGACACAAAGGAAGTGCCATTAAGTAATAATGTCAATTAACAGCAAATTTTTTTCAAGCAAGATGTGATAAATTTCACCAAATTATAAAATAATGGATTCCACAAGTTTCACTAAGAGGAATTGTTAGTCATATATACTACTATTAAAACAATAAGTAAAACAATGTACTGAAATGGCACAAGTTATTATACAAGTAAAAGGCCAGGGTCAGGGTTGAGTAATCAATATCAATTGCAGCATATGTATGTATTAATTAGCAGTCTTAGACATTAGTACATGTAGATT